ACATCCTCATATACCACTTTTAAATCGAGTTTTGTCCAAATTTTGTTTTCAAATTAAATTTTAAGTAGAAAAAAAATAAATAACCTACATAATAAAACAAAAATATTTCAACGAAAATTAATGAAAATGTCGTGGTGTATTATATCGTTGGATTCGCTTTAAAATACTGCATTTAGTAATGTTATGAAAGTTATATGTTTCTATTATAGTTTTCGAGATAGGACAAAAATACTAAAATGATGAAGTTTACAGCCCTCTATCAAAAAAAATTACAAAGATAAAATTGAGTTTGTATTTTTCTGAAATTAAGTAAAGTTAATAGTCATTTTAGGATGATCATGGCACTCTAGTTGAAAAATTAAAGTTCAATTTAAAAACAAAATTTGGAAAAAATTCAATTCAAAAGTGGTGCATTAGGACGTAAAACGATTCGTAGAATCCGAAAAACAAAAAATATACAGGGTGTGCCATTTGAAAATCAAAAGTTCCGGTCATTTCCGGTGAAACCGGAAGTCAGAAAAACTTGTCATAAATGCATAAAAATGGCGTTTGGTTAGAATACCAACCCTAGCAAGTTTCGTTGATATTGATGAACAAATAAAAAAATGGCAGCCGGAAAGTGATCTCGTGGGCACCCGGTATAGTAGTGGCGGCTCGTGGTTTATACTGGAAGGGGTTCACACATAGAGTAGGACGTAGTAGTTGAAGCCTACCGCAGCGCAGGTGCTTTAGAGGTTTTTTTTTCGGGTGCCACGCCCACAAATAAATTGTAAGCCTCCAAAAATAGTTATTTACATTACAAGTGCGTTTATGACATGATTACAATAGCGAGTGTGAAATATTAGAGCGAAGAGGTCGTAGACCGAGTCGTTCTAATTACACGAGTTTTCTACTCATGTTTAAACGCACGTGTGATGTACAACGATTTATCTACAAAGCGAAAAATAAGAAAAGGTTTTTTTCAATTTGTCAAATCACAAAAACTAGTTGTTTTATAGATTCATATCCTAGTCCATAACACCACTAGTTGTGTTATGAGTCACATGACATAATTCAAATACTAGAAAAATGATTATGTAAAAACTTCATAACCAAACGCTTGTAAATAAAATAATTTTTTGGTATATCAAAGATTGAATTAGGTAATAGTTATTTATATTACTAGTACGGTATAAGCTTCATTACTGTAACGAGTGGGAAATATTGCCACGACGAGGTCGTAGGCCGCCCTGGTAACCACACGAGTGTTGTAATAAGCCTTACCGTATGTGTGATATATACAACATTGTATCTACGACCTGCACAAAAAGTGACTATTGTCGTTTTTCTATTATAAATAACCCGGTTGTTTTTTTTCGAGAAAGGTGGGATTTAGGTCAAAAATAAACGGCGTAGAAGAAGAAAATGCGTATTTGCCTATCTTCTTCTACGTCGTTTATTTTTGACCTAAAGGACCCCGCAATATTTAAATGGAAATTGGTTACCCGTGATATTTGGATGGAATTTAAATATGTTATTGGGAATGCCCTTAGCAATATTTTTTACCATGGGCACAACCCTGTATATATGACAGGTGAGGCGTGGCAAACTGTCAAATATTGGAATCTTATATCCAAAAGCAGAGTGACTATGGCAGATTTTGAAGAACGAAGTATTGATGTCTACTAAGTCGACCCAGTTAAGTCGAAAAATGTCAACCATTTTGACACCTGTCAAAACCCTGCCAAACGGCAGCACTTATTTTTTCCCGTTTTCAATAGTTTATGATGTCATTTGACATTTTCAACTTGTATGTAAATTCTGAATTCAAAAATTGAAAAAAAAAAGACAGAACTGCCAAAACCTGTCATTTGTTTTAGTAGAAAAAAATACTCTAATCTGGTTCTTTTTTATTTCAAGGTAGTTTATTGGTGATAAAACATTAAACAAAGTTCATGCATGTCACATTTTGACAATTGTTAGAATCTTTTAGTACCTGTTGTAGAACTTTACTCAGCAACAAACTCAATATGAACCAAAAAGTTATTAACAGATTCTGACAGTTGTCAAAATGTGACATGCATGAACTTTGTTAAATGTTTTATCACCAATAAACTACCTTAAAACAAAAAAGAATCAGATTAAAGTATTGTTTCTACTAAAACAAATGACACGTGTTGACAGTTCTGTCATTTTTTTTTTTCAATTTTTGAATTCAGAATTTACATACAAGTTAAAAATGTCAAATGACAACATGAAATATTGAAAACTGGAAAATATGAGTGCTGCCGTTTGACAGGTGTCAAAATGGTTGACATTTTTCGTCTTAACTTGGTCGACTTAGTAGAAATAGATTTTTGGTTCATCAAAATTTACCATAGTTACTCTGTTTTTGAATATAAGATTCCAATATTTGACAGCTAACCACGCCTCACCTGTCATATGTACAGGGTTGTGCCCGTGGTAAAAAATGTTGCTAAGGGCATCCCCAATAACATATTTAAATTTCATCCAAATATCACGGGTAACCAATTTCCATTTAAATATTGCGGGGTCCTTTAACCTTTCTCAGAAAAAACCCACGGGAATATCTACTGAGGTCACTAACTTAAGCAAAATAAATAACTATTGTGTACTCGATTGTGTAATTAAAAAAAAATGACCTCTTACCGCACTAGTGCGATATTGAACGCGTTATGATTAATTACCGCACTAGTGCGGTAATAAGGGCTCATTACATAACGCAAATAATCAAAAATTAGTGACATAATAGTCACTTCTTATGTAGGTCGTAGATAAAAAACTCAATTTCTTCATTCGCTCAATATTTGACGAGTAATTTCATCTGGGTGCGCAGGTAGCGCTCAATACAGCTGTGCCGGATTGAATGTTGTACTGTTGTACAGGGTGTCCAAGATTCGATGGTTTTGGGGAGGTTTCGGGTATTTCTAAAGAAGTTAGAAAAAATCTGACTCCCACTTGCGAGCCTCGAATTTCAAGAAAAATTGATTGGTGAAAACCGCATCTCTATATCGTCGAGTCGTTTTTATGCTACAAGGGGTTTTTGAAAAGTTTGAAGTTTGGCAGGGGGCTATAACTTTTTTATTTATGCAAATTTGGTCACCTTTTTCCTTGTAGCTCGAAAACGAATCGAGAAATCGAGATGCGGGTTTCACCGGCCAACTTAATTCGCTTGAAATTCGAGGCTTGCAAGTGGTACCAGAAAACCTCTAAAACCATGGAATCTTGGACACCCTGTACAACAGAAGGCGATTGATTCTTGAATCATTTAAGGCGTTATATTTTTGAATTTATTTTATTTGTATGTATTCCTCTGCGTGCACGTAGATATTTATGTTTTATAAAAAAAGTGAGACAGTCACGACAGTGTCCTCTCTTTTTGCCGCCCCCCTAAGATGCAAAGGGGGGCACGCGCCCCTGTTCGCCCCCCCGTAGATCCGGCCCTGGTATTGTTCCATATGACTTCGAGCAATATTTAGTGAAACTAGAAGCTTCGTTCAGGTTATACATTTATTGCTCCGGATAGGATATTGGGGGCAATGAATTTTACAAATACAAGAATTTACGTCTATCGTCGACCCAAAATGCAGGAAAGTGTGAAATTGAAAAATGAATAGCGAATACGCGGATAATGGAAACTCAACGATCGACGATTTGTGTAATGAAACCGCGACCGTCTTCCTAAGAAGTTATCATGAACGTACGCACTATTGGGCCTGCGGTGATTACAAAATGCGCTAACGCTTTTTGTCATTTAACAAAAGTGACAAAAGTCAAAGTCCAGAACAGGTAAATTGATTGATGGTCGCATTCCGCAATTTTCCATTTAGGAAAGTAGGTATTTAATTCATAGTTTAAATTTAAATTCAATAAGTTCCTAACAGAATGATCTGGTGCGGATTAAAGTTAGCATAATAGTTCTGTTTGCATAGGATTGGAACATAATATAGGATTCAGCTTATTTCTCCACTTAATACTGAGATACTGGTGTGATACATATTTTTATAAATTTAAGATAAGAAAGTCTGGTGGACAGGCTGAGATCGAGTAGGCCAGAATTCGCTTATTGGTGAGACAAGTTAGGGTTTTAGAGGCAATTTAAGTACTTTACATCTACAATTCCAGAAAAAAAACTGAGCCGATTAAATTTGATCAGAGAAGGTAATGTTCCAAGAATCTTTCAAGCATTTCAAGATTTAATTTATTATAAAACCTACCTGGGGTGCTATCATTTCAGTTTGAGTTATTCTCCTTCCAAAAACAACAATGATGCTTAAATATATTTTATTATTCGGAATATTTACTTACATATTTTCAACATTGTTATGAGTAATGACGATGGGGCTAATGTAAAGATGTACCTAACCAAGTTGAAAAAAAAAATCACGGACTTTTATCTCAAAATCTAACATATGAGAAAAAAAACGAGGTGACAATTTGAAAACATACTGGCTATGTTTTTAATGTTTTTAGAACCAAAAAAAAAAATACAAAAAATCGCTAAGAACAATTTCTATAATGTAATAACTAACCTGTTTTCATTTACCCCTCAAATAAATAATCTTAAATGGCAAACCCCTACTTGTGACACCTTATCTGGAAGCTCTTTAAAAATGCTTTGTGATGGTACCCTATACAAGCTAACATTTGATGTAATAATTGTCACACAAGGTATCACAATTACGGGGTATCCATTCAAGAATATTTAATTGGGGTAGCTGGCGGTGAGAGGGTTGGAAACAGGTTAGCTATTACATCATTTTGGTTTTCCCTCCCTATCATAGAAACTGTTTTCAGCGATTTTTTATATATTTCTCTGGTTCTTCAGGTATAGCCATTGTAGGTTTTCAAAGTGCCACTCTGTATACAAGTTGTAATGATACATCATAGAAAGTTTGTGCGATACAGGATTAGTGAAATCTGAAAAAATCTCCGATTTCAAGAAATCTTCAGATGCTCATGTCCGTTTAGCAATTTACAAAAAAAAAATCTCTACTCACCAATCAAAATTTTCACCCAAACATGCTTAACAACTTTTTACACGAATAAATCTCTTTCCAGAAAATTTTAAAAAACACGAACTTCGGCGACTGGTAGCGTCAAAGTAGTCACTTCGTCCGAGCGTCGCGACGCCACACCGGATCGACTGACGGCAGTGTTCTGCTGCGAGCAAGGCGCCGAAACTTGAGCGGCAGCAGTAGTTTGGACAATTGGGCTCCTGCAGTTTCGGTGTGGGGGAAGAAATTTACACCAACGATCAGGATTTAATCGGATTTTCGTTGTTATGCAAATCTACCCAGTGAGCAAAGTAGATTTTGATGACTTTTTCAACGGTAAATTTTAAATTACAGGAACGCAGAAAGAAAATAACGTCGCTAAGAAGACAATTTTCAAATTGGAGTTTGTTATGTTGATTATGTTATGAATGATATCTACCTAATAGCCTTGTTTCAACTTCCAAAACAACAGGAAACCGTAATGTACCGTCACAATTCTGTGCAAAGCCTATATAAAATTTTTGAGTAGAATCCGGAATCCGTATTCGTATATATTGGTTTTGAAACCGTTCATGAGACGGTTTTTGACTTGCTGTAACAGACCTTATAAAAAACATTGGAAGAAATTATATTTGGCAGGTAACTACCCCTTGAAAAAAAAAAAACTAAACTAATGGAAAATTGACATGAAGCAGAAAAATGCAACTAATCATATACCTAGTTAAAGGGAGGCTCAATGAAACTGTCTCAGATGAACTCATTGCACCATCAGTACTATCAGAAAATACATAATTAGCCAAGCCTCTCACAGCTCAATCTCACTATAAAACATAAATGAAACTTTTTGAAAAGCATCAGACTTTATATCAATCAATAATTCCAAATCCAAATAAATGATCATTATGCGAGGAAATAATCCAGAGCACCATAGAATAGTTTATATCATTAGAAATAGTAAGAAAACAACCAGAGGCGCCGACTTTTGAAAGTTCTCATGGGTGCAGGGTGCAGGATAATAACTTTATAAATTTGTTTATTAGGGGAGGGGGAAAGTTGCTGCAGGCGCAAACTATGTAAATTTAAATTACATGATATTACTCGCAAACTCCTGGTCCATCAAAAATTCACCCCCAGATCGACCCAGGACGACCCACCCTCGTTCCCTGACGATTCGGTCTTCTGGACCCCATTGAACTCCATCTTGGGAGACGATAGCGCACCAGTCACCAGCGCAACCGCCCCTGAACGCCTGAACCTAGCACGCCTGTAGCTAAGGATAAGGGCCCAGGCAGGACAAAGAACAGAGTTGTGCGTCCCGAACTCCCCACCATCTCCACCCAGAAGAGACCGAGACCAAAGTCTCTCGGGGATGAGTCTAATAGTCCAATCCATCGGACACCCAAATGACATTCATAGATGACCACCCGGCACCCCGCACCACCTACCAACCCCCCACCTACCTCACTGATGCCACCTCCCCTTCTGGTCATCGACCTCACCGACGAACCTAACGTCGGTCAGGACTCAGGAGGGAGTGACAACTCCGAACGGAGAACCAGGAGGCATGACCAGCATTTTCAATCACGTTCTGGTGCAGCTGGCCTCCCTACGCGGCCACCTCAACCCTAATTCCAACGACAACGGCAAACGTCATTAGAAAACTCTTCTTCAAACGACCCTGACCGGAAGTGAACAGCAATTCGATTCCGCCTGGGAAAGCTGGACTTCCGAGCGATTCGGGGTCAAATCTCGGAAAAAGGGTAGAGAAATTACCCTTCCGGCGCGGGTCCTTCAGGCCCTGCGGCTCGTAAAAAGCTCTCAAACTACGGCAGAACTTTCACTGGTCGGGTTCCTCGCCAATCCCTCTTCGAAAAGGCGCAGGACCTCTACACCAAGAGCCGATCCTCTCTGGCCGAAGTCATCTTAAGCGGCCGCTCACTCGACGTTTTTGCGATCACCCCAAATATCTCAGAGGTCCAAAATCTCTACGGGGCATCCTGGCCATCCTGAGTAGTTTTCAATTTAAGTTACATGATACCGATATTACCCCACGGAACGGAATGATCATCAAATACGTTTGTACTTCCGCGTTCCCCACAAGAGCTCCCATGGGTGCTCATGGGTGCACCTACCCCAATGCCCCCATGTAGTCGGCGCCAGTGAAAACAACTAAACTATGGATTGGATCAAAGGGAAGGCACTATCATCGAAGGCATTAGCATAATTCCAGCTACACCAGGGAGAATAACAAAACTCGAAAAAATGATGTTTCAACTACAACGAATAAAACGAACTAACCTAAACTCGAACAGCAGTACTGGATATATTTTCAATAATCGGATTACAAACAAAGAGGTAACTATGTTATCAGTTTCTTCTTTGTTTGTTCATGTTTACTAGGAGAATTACTTGAAATCCAATTCCTATACTTATCAATTATCATCATTAAAATATCATCGTCGTAAAGGCTATAATACTACCACTCAAATGAGATGCTACCACAGACCCAGATAACATTCCAGTAATATTTCTAAAAAACTGTTGTGAAACTCTCTAAACCATTCTGACTAAAGCAAGGTCTGATTAATAGAAGATACCTCGTCTCAGTTCAGACTCATGCAACAATTATAACTATAAGTAGGACAGATAACCGTGAAATTTGTGGGGGATGAAAAAAAAACAAAAAAAAAAAAATTAGATAGGTACCTAATTATGCTAGAGATGAATGCCTTCCTGATTAATCATCAAATCATCCTAAATGCACAACATACCTAATATTTTTCCTCAGAAATCTACAACAGCCAATCTACCTATGTATTGCTCGAACGATTGTACGAACCATCAATAAGATAAAGGAATCCCAGCAGCCCTCAAAAATTAATTGACGTACCAGGTTTTTTTTTTTATCTTTGATATCATTTGGATCATCTGTACATAAACAATGTTCATACAGGTGATCAAAATGATATCAAAGATAAAAAAAAACACAGCGTACAAGTGAGACACATAAATTTTCATCTTTTTAGGAATTGGAGAAGACATTAAACTGTACCGTAACAAAGTATATTGAAATGCAGGACAATTAGACAACCTTGAGTTAATTGAGACTTGGTCAGAAACAGAACAATTTGGTGAAGGAATGATATAATATAAAGAAGAACAAATACACCTAAAAGCTGCAGTCTCAGTAGCTTCCAAGTGAGCAGAAAATAGGTGAGTATAAAGTGCAGAAAGCTAACTCAGTGATCTAACTGAAATTGATCGCCTTGAGCAACACCAGTGGGCAGATGAGCCAGAAAATATACGAATATTCATTGCGATGGTCCCGCACCCTCCCTACAGACGTGTGGAAGCGTGTCCAGAAAAGGATAAGAGAAATAGCAGAAAAGCTGAGAGATGACCCACTGAGAGGTTGAACAACCTTAAAAAACTGGAGAATGCGAATATTTTAAAATAATCAACAATTTCTTTGCTGGATGTCCTCTTATTGATTTGAAATCCAAATAAGCAATTACGTGGCCGCTCAAAAAATCAAAGAGGAGAAACAAGATGCTAATTAAAGATAATTTCCTAAGCAATTGAAGTTGTTTATAAGTGGATTTCTCTTAGTGAATATGCAGTGGAAGCAAAAATCGAATGGAATGTTTAAATGTTCCAACTCAAGCAAACAGTGGCTCAAAAATGTGACGTTATTGCGATATTTTCTTTTGTTTTTTAGGATAGATTCCCAAAAAATAAGGAAATCGTTATATTACCTATATATGGAAAAAAATCAAAACTAGAAAAGTCATACGTTTGCTGCTGGAGTCTCTTGACAATGTCCTGCTTGACCGACCGCTGGTGCAATTTCTATTCTAAAGGTTTAATATCCTGTAATACGTGTGTGTTGTTCTGTTTCTTTTCCACATGCGTTTTCTTTATTTCTGTGTATAGTGTCTTGTCTAGTGTCTGTTTACCGTCGAGCCGCCCCATCAACTGAATTAAAGTCGGGTGCATTACGAACAGAACTCATTCTTTATAACCGACAAACAGTTTTCCACGATCCAAGGCATTCCTTCTTTACTTTCGCGTTAATCATCATTTCGTACGGCTTTTTTAGAAACAGTAGATATTTCATTTCTATATGTTACATATTTATTTTTGATTAGAACTGGAATTTCTGGATTATTTAACTTTATAGACTTAAAAGTCGTAGAGTGGGATATCGATCTGTTTGATTTCAACAGATCCATTTGAACCCAATACAACCTTAACGATATAAAAATAAAGTAAAGGAAAGCGATTTGGGTACCTATGTTTGACAAAAAATCATCCTTATCCACGTTGTTCCTAGTTTTCCGCCAGATGCTTCAATATATAAATTTTCCAACCAAATTTTTTTGACTCTCTGTCGACTTGATTCTATAATCTATATCGTTGCATTTATTGTTCACTGTTATAGTTCTTACATCACCTCGCCCAAGATTGTTACTTCACGAGCTCTAACTGTTGGAAGTTAAGACGTTTAGTAAGTGTTTGTCGTTAATCATGGTATAACGAATAGTCCGAATTGAACAAAGGCTTAAGAAGTGGGCTGGTGTATGCACATTGAGATCGATGGAATGGGATTTGATGAAAGTGAGGTTGATGGTTATTGGGTTGTTGAAAACTTATAATCTTTATTTTCATAGGCAATATTGGCACGGAAGGATTACTGGAAAAAGTAAAATATGTATGTTTTTCATCGCGTTTATAGAATTCCAAGCCTATCATCAGAAACTGAACATTTTGTGAAATGACTTCACCAAAGTGAGTCTTAAAGTATTAACTTAGTAACTGGAACACATACGAGCTCATAATAATCATTTATTAAAAAGACCCAGAACAGTATTTTATGTGCTTGCGACGTTGAATACATTCTTATCTTGGCTTGGAAGGAGAGAATTAGCATCTCTAAGCAAGCTTATTCCGCTCCTCGAGCTCTCCAGGGGTGATATGATCAAAACTGATAAACATAATTTTCAGAAACGCTTCAAAGTAGTCATAAGAAGCGGAGAAGAATGGAAAGGAAACACTACATCCATTCTTACATTGCATCAAAAAGCCGTAAACTGGTATACTGATGGGTCAAGATTTGACCAAGTGACTGGAGCCGGAGTACTTGAGCCTGGACTTCGCTTCTCCGGAGCAATGGAAAAACACCC